TATTGAGAAAGAATAAACTAGTTTTATTTAAGAGAGGACCTGTATTGCTAAAGTTTCATCCGAAAGAAATTATTCGGGAAATTAACAAACGATCAGAGATGTAACAACACTATATAAAATCCAATATAGAATCACTAGGAGAATTTTCGGAATAAATAATGAAACTTTAGAGAACAAGCAAAATATACTGAATATTAATAGTTTGGGCTGCGATAAAAATGACGTCATGATACATTTTGAATGTTTCACTCAAGTTGACCCTCAGATCTGGCGTTATCCATTAGTTAAAGTAGGCAACCACCCATAGGTTTAAAAATTTACCAAAGATGTCACTGTACGTTTATGATATCTCTTGTGTTATGTTTCGAGAACGTCTACTGCGAAAAGTAAGTAGAAGCAGAATGTTCAGCCCATACAGTAGTAAATGTTCGTTTTCCTTTTTCTTCTGTTTTCATAGATTTGGGATTATTAAAACTGTGTGGAAAAAATTTGGGGGGGGGAGATGTGTCAATTCCTAACCTATAGTCACGACGTCACTGCTTAGAACAGTCAAGAAATTATTGCTGCTAAAAGCTATGGAACAGAACATTGCAAAAACTTCCTACTATTCTGTCTCATAAATTCAAGAAACTATAAAAATGGGTTGGCTCTGTGTTAATCTGAGGAATTCTGAACTGGTGAACCAAGGTCGAATCCGTGAAATACCAAATAATATCCCCACCACTTTATGCTGTGGATGCATTATAAGAGTGACAGTCAGTCCATTAGCATGGGTGGTAGGGTCCTGTTGACTAGCTGCCTTTCCTCTGGTCAGTAGTTAGAAATTAAGGATGGCTGCAGATAGCTATGGTAGTTTTGCCATTATTATAAAATACAAACAAATAAGAAACCATAACTTTTCATGAATAGAAAAATTTTAAAGAGAGACTGGCAGAAACATATAGCCCAAGGGACCTGTTTTGTTTGTTTTTTCATCTAGGACATTCCATTCACTAAACATTAATATAAAGATAAAATACTCAAAGCCAGCCCTTATCATTCAAGTAGTTATAAAGCCTTCCCTTAAAGTCCCTTAAATTTATTCTATCCACCACATATGAAAGCAACCCAATCCAAAGTCCAACCACCCTGTTATAAAAATAAAACTGTTAGGTGAAGATTACTCATACTTTGTCAAAATTTGACCCATAGTCCTACCATTTTCATCACTAAGTACAAAAAAGATGATGCTTCAGTACTAACAGTTCCCTTAACAATTTTAAACTCAACCAGATTCCCTCATACTCTTCTTTTTTCGAAACAAAAATATTTTAAAGATCTTAACCTGTCCTCATATGACACTTTTTCATCCTAGTAGCCCTCCTCCTAAATCCTTTACAACAAATTCACTTCTCTTCTTAAGGTAAGGAACACAAGGCTGACAACCAGTAATCCAACTGTAGACTAATCAGTGATTATAGAACGAAATTAACCTTTTTAAATTGTATTCAGTGTTTCTGTGGATACAACCAAAAATGTTATTTGCCCTACCACCAGCATTGATGCATTGCTTGGATGGCTTAAGAAATTGATTAACCAGAACACTAAGATCCTTTCCTTCCATGATACTGTTTAGCTATCCCAATCAAAATTATATTTATAATTAAAATTATGACATCTTGCATACATTACCTTACATTTATTATAATTAAAAGCCAACTGCCATTTATTCTTCTAACTTGCTAATTAATCCAAGTCCTTTTGTAAAACAGCAACAGCACCCTCACAACCAACAATACTGACAATCTTAATATCGTTATCACATTTAAGTAATTTATTGACCATTCTCTCATTTATGTTATTGATGTAAATCAAAAAGTATCTCCCATTCCATGTAACAGTTACAAAAGTATCCCCCACACACATGGTTTAGAAGACTATGGACTAGGCGAGATTGAGTTTTTAGTGAATACTAGCACAGCCAGAACCTTACTCAATTTGCCAGATTTGCTTGTACAACAGATTAACTGTAGTTCTACAATAAAACTTTTTTATGCTGAACAGATTTGGCTCTAGAACAGTGGATTACACGAGTGCAGTTTGAAAAGGATATAGTAATTTTATCCTAATCTTTATACTATTTTTTGTGTATTTTAGATGGGTGATTCTGGTAATGCTCATTACTGTGTTTCCTTTATATGCACTGATGAATGTCTGAAGGAACTAGAAGATGTCCATTGGTTCAATATACTAGATTTGGCTTCTGGATATTGGCAAGTTGAGCTGTATCATGCATATATATCTAAAATTGCTCTCAGCACTTGAGAAGAGCTGTATGAATTTTGCATCATGCCATTTGGTCTGTGTAATATGTCTGCCATTTTTGACTGGACAATGAAGCTTACACTTAAAGGACTGCAACGGGAGAGATGTCTATTTTAAGGGGATGAAGTACGTCTTTGGTAACATATTTCAAGCTGAAGTTGCGTCAAGGATACAGGTTTGAAATTGAAACGGAGAAAGTGTACACTTATGCATTCAAAAGTGCAATTTCTCAGTCGTATTGTTGGTAGAAATAGAGAGTCTATGGATCCTGCAAAGATTTCAACAGTCAAGGACTGGCCCTTACCTGCTAATGAATTAATAGTTTGCAGCTTTCTAGGTTTGGTTTAATATTTTGATGGTGTGTGCCAATTTCTCTAAGGTAACCACATCACTGTCTACATTAAGTCAGTAAAAGGGATATCGACTACAGAGGTGTAGAACATTATCTCATTTTGAATGTTTGGCCTTTTAAACTGGCAGATGGAAAATCGTTTTTAAACACATTTTGTTTTTTTATATAAAACTAAACAATGAATGATCTCTAATAAAACATTCAATACTGTAAACAAAACAAAACAAAAAACGCTCATTCAGCTTATGAATCTCTATTGTTACCTTGCTCAAAATCAAGTTTATAACTGTTAACATTTGGATAATGTTAAGAAATTATGTGCATCAGTCACAGTATGGAAAATTTGGATGCATAGTGGATTGTTTTACTAGGACTAGCAACAGTAATGATTGAAGTTAATGTTCATAGGTTTATAACTTATTCATTCCTGGTTAGGTCCAGGTAATTATGAAGGTGTGATTATATAAAAGACCCTGTAATTGTTGTGTTTTTGATTTGCTAGACCTATGAACTATAATATTAATAACTGTTTTCATTGACTTATATGACCATAGGCCGGTCCAACCCAAACATCTGACTCAATTGACCTAGACATTCACACTGAACTACCAGAGCGAGGACAATGGGACAGCAAGGCTGAGTTTATCCTATCATGTATTGGGTTGTCAGTAGGTATTGGGAATGTGTGGAGGTTCCCATACCTGGCCTATCAAAATGGTGGAGGTATGTTCACCTTTTAAGTGTACACGAGTCATGGTTCATTGTTGACATGAAATCATAACTACAACTCTAAAAGCATACACAAAATATTTCAAATTTGGTTGTTTTTTTCATTGTTTATATATATATATATTCAATATAAAGTAGACATACAGTTGATCAAGCTGTTTTAATATTAATAGACTCTGGACCTGTTGCATTCTTTCGTTGGTAAATATTGAGCATATAACTACTGTTTGGTTGAGTATAAAATTCTAAACAGCATATTTATCTCGTCGGAGTGTTAAAGAAGAAATTTATACAGACAAAATGTGACACTTGTATGTATTAGCTCGTCAAGAAATTAATGTCCTTTTTTTTAGATGAAAAAAACCCAAATAACTTGTATATCAAAACAAAACATTTAGTAAATGAAATAATCTCCATTTTTGTCGATGATGCTTTTCATCTTACAATCAGGTTGTTAATGCCCTGATTAAAGAAATCACTTGGCTTTGAAGCAAAAAAACATGTCAATGTCTTCTACATTTGCATACGTTTTCCCATTAAAATGGTGTTGCAACAAACGAAAACGATGGTGCCATATCTGGAGAATATGGTGGATGTGGAAGAACTTCCCAACCCAACTCCATAATCTTGTATTGCGTCAAACGTGTACCATGTGGACGTTCCTTGTCGTGGAAAAGAGTGAAGGGCGTTTCTGATGAAGAGCTTGATATAAACGTCCCAGTTGCTGACTATGGATCTCTGCATTGACAGTTCGCTGTGGATTGAGGAGTTCGAAATGAATTACTACTTTGATGTCCTACCAAATGCAAAGCATCACCTTCTGCAGATGGAGGCCAGGTTTAGGGGTCGGAAGTGGTTTTTGTCTAGACTGAGCCATTGTTTTTGGCATATAATATTTGTATAGATAATCCATTTTTCATCACTGTGACAATTCTGTCCAAAAATGGTTCACGCCAGAAGAGACAAAGCAATGTTCACACGTTGGAAATGATGATCATCGGGGGAGTTTGTGAGGCACCCAAGCACCTTCTTTATGGAGT